TGATGATGGTGATTATGAAGATGATGGTGATGGTTGTGATGATGGTGATGATGGTGATGATGCCAGTGATTATGATGATGGTGGTGATGATGGTGATTACTATGATGATGATGATGGTGATGGTTGTGATGATGGTGATGGTGATGATGATGATAATGGTGGTGATAATGGTGATGATGGTGGTAATGAGGATGATGATGATGGTGATGGTGATGATGGTGATGATGGTGATGATGGAATGATTCAATGGATGGATGATTGGATGGATCAATAAATAGAATGTGCAATGACAGGATGAAGGATGGATAAATGGAATATGTGATGGGAAAAAAACTTATATTTTACAACCACCACTCCCCATACATTCTATATTTACAACATACAAAACTTAACTCACATGTCGCTTTTTACGGAGGGAGGAAACCGGAGATCCTGGAGAAAACCCCCGTGGCAAGGGAGAGAACAACACATCAAACAAACTTAACTCACATATGATCCAGTCTGAGCCAGGGCTTGAACCCGGACCACAGTGGTGAGAGACGAGCGGTAAACCACTACGCCACCCATGCCACCCACATCACCATAGATGATTGGATTGATAGAAGGGATGGACAGAACAAAGGACTTATGAACAAATAAATGTATAAAATACACCTGAACACTGCATTTTTGTGTCTTTAAGCAATTTTACTTACCAACCAGTTCATTGAATTTCGGCAACATAGTAGCAGTAAGTACGTTCTCTGGCAGATCCCGTAAATAGCTCTTGACAACTCCTGCCACAACTTCTGGTTCATAGTCCTTTAATTCTACTGATTTACCTGAGGGACAAACATGGTTAAGAAAAGTTAAAAACTCTGACATTACTAAATATAAGTCCACCACTGGTCATTAATGTAATGCGCATTGAGACATTGTATAAATGCGCTATACAGGAACCTCCCATTATTATTATTTATATATAGAGGTTATCAGTGGGCTAAGCATCTGATACGGCTGTGTCTTTTTACGAGTCACAGAGTATTTTGGAGAGCCTTTAGGCGAGCCAAAGTACAATTAGTGATGAGTAAAAATGCACAGCCTTATCAGACCTTCCCAGCGAGGTTGGAAATTAATTTTTCCAAATTTAATTCCAAGGGTCTTTCGCCCGGAATAACCTCGTTCCCAAGCACTATAACTTATCTATATTTCTATATCTTCACAGCCTTATCAGATGCTTGGGCGAGTGATAAGTTGTTTATTATTTAATTCTGCAAAGAAATGCTCAAACTCCCTCTAAACCCTATCATACCCGATCGCGAGCAGATGAGTAGTGCTGATACGGTCTCATATCAGGAATGGTTTTTTCCTGTATCACAACCGTTCTTTGCAGTATTAAATCATAATAGACTTTATTACAATATTTACATTTTAAACCATGTGTCATTCCCTTGAGTATCATTTATTTGTAAAAGAAAGTACTAAGAACTAAAAATGATTATTAAATAGACCTTATTAAAACATTCACATTTCAGACCATGTGTCATTCCCTTGAGTGTTGTTTCTTTGTTTATCAAGAATTTTGGGCAGCGACAACCAAGCATTTTTTACATTTGATGGGCTAATATTTGTTCTTGTTAACAACAGAAATCATACTAAGGCAAAAAAAAAAACTGCCACCAAATGTCAGCGATCTGGGTTTTCACGTCAGAAAAACAAGCCTCTGTCACACCTCCAAAGGACTATGATTCTGCCGACAAACATCAACCTCTTAGTCTGCATTCCTTTCATCACACTTCAGCATCCTTTAGATAAATTTCTTACCCACAAACTGTTAAAAGGATGCTGAAACGTGAAGGAATGCAGACTAAGAGGTTGATGTTTTCCAGCGGAGATGTAGACGTTTGGAGGCATGACCAAGGAATGTTTTTTTGGCGTGAAAACCCATATGGGCAATATACGTAGTAAGTCAGTGTGTCTCCGAATCTGCCATCACTGTTGTGTATAGATCAATGTTACATTCTAAGCTACCTATTTCCCCCTTTATACATCATTGGACAACACAGGGCGCCACTAAAATATTAAGAAACTTAGGAATGAAGCAGTATAGAAGGACAACACTACTTGCCTTCATTGTAGAGTTCTTTGAGTACATCAACTTTAGATTTTGCACCAGAAACTCTGTATATTCCTTCTATCCCCAATCCTGGATAACAGGAAAAGAAAATAACATGAATGGGTGGATGGGGAAATGAGAAATAGGAAATAGAGAAAGGGAAATTAGAAAAGAATGATAAAAGGGTGGGAAGAAGAATAGAAGGAAGAAAGAGAGAAAGAAAGAGAGAAAGAAAGAAAGGAAGGAAGGAAGGAAGGAATTTGATATGCCCCCCCCCCCCTTCCCCTTCACTAGTAGGGTACGGTAAATAATGACTGTCCCTCAAATGAAAGAGAATTATCCCAAATAAATGATACG